AATTTTAATATTTATCTTAAAAACATAAATTAAAAAAATCTTAAATTTTTTTATATTCTTGACTATAAGTCTACCGTTTAATATCTAACATCCACGGATAACAAAACGAGGTAAGTGACAAAGAAATCAGCAGCAAGTATCTTGAGGGCCCAATGAAATGAATTCGATACGTGTGGAAAGGGGCTCGATAAGATTACGATGCTGTGAGGCAATTTGTCACTGTCCTGTCTTTTAAGCACAAAATGTCTAATTGCTGAGACCTAAAATTATTTTAATATCAAACGCAAGTAAAAGACTAGAACCTAAAAACTTAATACCAATCGCAAGGAAAGGATAGGCTTTTTTTTTTTTTTTCGGTTTCCCGTTCGGTATCCGGGGCTTCGCCCTGACTAATCCGGACCCGACCTGCGTCGCGCACCTGGAAATGGTGGGTGAGTCTCCCAACGGGGGCTACTGCATTCACAAGGACTCGAACTCGAGACCTTGCTTAAGTTGGAACAAACCGCTTACCACTTGATTTAACCCCTCGTTGGTAGAGAAGGATAGGCTTTTGCCATAATTATAGTTGTGGTTGTAATTTAAAATTATTTTAATATTTAATTATATATTTTTAAAAAATATTATAAATAATAAATATTAAATTTTATTAATTATTAATTAAAATTTAAAAATTATAAAAACATATATTTTATTCAAAAATAACTATAAAAAAAATCGCTAATTGGAATCCGAACGCGCCTAGAATCGTACACGCCTCCACAATGTTTTTAGTCAAATCAAGCAGAAAGCTACGTGGAGACAGTGGTGTAGCTATGATTTTTTATTTTTTATTTTTTTGAACTTGAGGAATTTTGTGAGATAAAGAATAATGTTTGAATATTGATTTTAAAATTTTTATGTTTTAATATTTTTTTATTAAAAGAGTGGTCATTAAACTATTTAGTGTTGAACGTGGTATAACGATGATTTAAATATAAAAAGGTGTAAATTATAAATATTTAAATAAAATTAAAAAAATAATAATAAAATAAAAAAATAAAAGAGAAAACAATGAAATTATATTTTTTTTACAAAATTATTCATAACTAATCTCTATAACTAAATATACAAAATTATTTAAATTTATACAATTAAAAAAATAAAAAAAATGAGACAATCATGATAAAAATTTTTGAAACAAAATAAAAGTCCAAAAAATCTATTTTATAGCCACCGCACGTCACCTGGTAAGAAACAAATCAATTACTAGTATGGTAAAACACCAGAACAACAAAAAAATAACTAAGGTAATAAATAAATAAATAAATAAATAAACAATCCGTCCAGTCTTAAAAAGAGAAGCATAGATATGTAATTCTTAAGATCCACTGGCTAACATGGTAAAAAGATAAGCACAGATATGTAATTCTTGAGATCCACTAACTCACATGGTAAACTCCAGAGCAACAAAAATAAATAAGTAAACAATTCAGTCTTAAATAGCACAAATATCTAATTCTTGGGGCCCACTATCCATATATCAGTCTTAAAAGAAACTAGCATAAAAATCTAATTTTTTTAAAATTTTTTTAAGATGTATTTTTAAAATATAAATTTAAAATATATTAAATATATTTTTTATTATAAAAAATATAAAAATTAATATTAATTTTAATATTAAATATATGTAATTAGATAATTAATAAATTAAAGTATAAAAAAATTATGTTAAATCTTAAAATTAAAAAATTCAACATATTTATTTGTCTTGACTATAAAGTTAAATAAAATGTATTTAATAAAAGAAAAATAAAATTTGTAGGGCCTGACTCGCCAATTGCCACTATTTTAAAAAAAATTTTAAATAGTTAAATTCCACTTAATTACTTGTTTTAGAGTCCCATAATGAAAAAAATGAGTGTAAAAAGTAATTTAAATATATTAAAATCCATGAAATTACTGAATTAACCTTTTGGTTTCAAAACAGTATCAGAAAATTAACGACTGTCATTCCAGTTTCATTTCTACTTTCTCTGCATTCTTCTATTTATTGCCTCATTTTTTCCAAGGTAACTCGTAAGCTTCATGTTCGCATGAGTTCACGAATGGTTGGATTACCATTTTTCTTCTCAATTTTAATTTTTTTCATTTTCAGCCTTACTGATTTTATGTATTAACTTACCATCTCATATTGTATTTTTTAATTTCTGCAGATTATTGCATTATTTTGATAAAATCAACTGCATTTTTCTGTCCCTCAGAAGTAGAAGTTTCACACCAATAGGTATAATTTTTTATTTAATTCCTATAAATATATAAGCTTTATTTTTTTTTATTCTTTTTGTCAATTAACCTCTTTATTAAAGTAATTTAAAATCTAATTTACATGTAATGAAAATCTTTTATGTAGCTAGAAACTTCCGAGCAATCTGTGGAGAAGCGTTTCACTAGGCACCTCCCTTTGCTGCTGCAGAAAGAAAAAAAGAAAAAGAACAGGAAAAAAAATTAGGCATATCTCTTTCTGTTTTCATTCTAAGGTCATTTGGGGAAAGCACTGGCCATTTAAGCGAGGTAAATTTTCTTCTTTCAATTAATTAATTTGTATAACTGATTTATGTTGCATTCGTTAAACCTGTAAATAACAATACAATTTATATAACCACCGGGATTGAGTTTCAAGTTCTAATTTTTAATCTCTGTTTAATTAGCATAGTCAAACAAAAACATTAAATAATTTACTAAAATTAGAATCTAAAATACAAATATATCAAATAGAGGAAGATTTCATTTGAAGAACTATAAAGGAAACTACAACTCATGTACAAAACTGGTGGTGGATACATAATTAAAGCAGAGAGTAATAAATTATGCACCACTACCATGCTGACGCAAATCATAATAATTTTTTAAAACAACTGCTTGTAATATTAAACATCTATTTAATAAACTAATTTCAATCCATTTATCAATAAATATCAGTTGTTTTATTAATTATAATTAGAGTTAATTGTCTCAATTTGACTTCTTTTATAAAATTGGATGATGGTAAATAGATGATAATTAATTTTTTTTAATACATAATTTTTGGTAAATATTTTTATTTAGATCAAAGAAAATTTTTAATTATCATTTATTTATTTTTAAAATTATCAAGTTAATTTACATAAAGTGAAAATAACAATTAAAAAAGACCAAAGAAAGTATCAGTTAACAACTACAACTATTTGTTGCCTTTCAAACAAAAAAAAGGAAGAACTACAACTATTTTTTGTCTTTAATAGTTAAATCAAATAAAATTAATGTTTTTAAAGACTGTTCAATAATTTGTATAACCTTAATATTTT